CGTTCCCTGGAGTCCTTCCTTCATTTTGACTCTTTTTTTTTTTTTTAATTATTTTACATGGGACCATAGCCTATTAACAATGTTGTGATAGCTTCAGGTGGACAGCAAAGGGACTCAGCCATATGGATACCTGTATCCATTCCCCTTGACTAACTCTTCTTGACTTCAACCTTTACTTAACCACCATGCTGGCATTTGAAAAAGAGTCCCTCTTCATGGCCATTGTCACCCATTAGCACTTTAACTGCACTTGTCTCTTTACTCTTGTACCTGTTTTTCAACTTGAACCATCATTCAAATGAGAATCAAATTAAAATTTAATTTTAAAGTAAAAAAAAAATGTTGACAGCCCACAAAAATGCAGTTATTACTGATGACAACTTTCCTTTTATAAACAGCTGGAATCCTGGCTGGTTTCCTTGTAGGACTAGGTGTAGGGAGGGAGGCTAGGCTAGAGAAGTGTCATTACCTGCAGTGGGAGGAGAGGAAGACCTACAGTGATGGTAAAATCCAGGGTCCTTCGTTCAGAACTCAAGACCCTTTCTTCCCCTCCTCCTTCTCTTGTCTCTTTCTTTACCTCCCACACCCTTCATCCGCTCTTCCTCCTTCTCCTCTTCTCATCCTCAAGCCATCATGTTGACCAGGATTGTGTTAAGCAAAGGATTTGGCCAAGCCGGGGCACCTATTCTGCTGGTGCTTCCTCACGATGTGAACCTGATCCGTATCCCACCGCTGTACACATCCTCTCTTCCCCCGCCCCAGCCTTGCCTCTGTTGATTTCACATGACTGACTCTTCTGGACTTTCATGCAGCTCGTTCCTCTTCCACCTTGCAGTTTTCCAAGCAGTTGAAACACATTTTGCTATATCTCCTTTAAGCTTTGGTCTTTGCTTTCCTGTCATATTGGATTTTACTCTGATGAAGAAGAGCTTGAGCTCCTCAGTGTCCCTCTCAGGGCGTGATGTTCAGACACAAGGAGGTGGCTGACCTCGCACCTCGGGTGATGGCCCCGACTTCTCTGTTCTGAACATGCTGCTCTTGTGCACGCCTCCCAAGATTGTGTTTACTTCTTTTGTGGAGCCCAGAAATATTGTTGACTTATATAAAACTTAGGGCTTCCCAGGTGGCACTAGTGGTAAAGAACCCGCCTGAAAATGCAGGAGACATAAGAGATGCAGGTTTGATCCCTGGGTAGGGAAGATCCCCTGGAGGAGGACAACCCACTCCAGTATTATTGCCTGGAAAATCACCAAGGACAGAGGAGCCTAGTGGACTATAGTCCATAGGGTTGCCCAGAGTCAGACAGGACTGAAGCAACTTAGCATGCAGCATGCTTCATATGGACATATTGTAATCTATATAATTAACTCTTCTTGTTGGACTTATAGGTTGTTTCTGGGTTTTCCTATGTAAGCTTTTCTAGGTGAGAAGATCTGAGCCTTGGCTTTAGTTACTAGCATTGTGCATTAGTTTTAAATTGTATAATTTGAAAAAAAAAATCAGATAAATAACATGTGCAATAACAGGTATTGATGTGCCTGTGTTTTGTATAATAGACTTACTTTTCATAGTATTATTCCTCACACAAAATGACAAGTTATCTCAGAATAACTAAGTAATAATAAACACCATTTTTTGAGTGTTTGATCTGTGCCAGGCATAAGAAGAAAACCTTCATTTTCTCTCTGCCGACTTTGACAACCATAGTAAGATAAAAGTATCATTATCCCACTTTCTAGATAAAGTAACTGAGGCTCCAAGAGCTTCAGAAAACTCCTCAGGACATTCCTAGTAAGTGGTGGAGCCCAGATGCAAACCATACCTCTTTCATTCCCAAATTTGTACTCTTAATCATTAGACTGGACTCGTAAAAATGTTTTAGATTGACTCACCACATGAATGAATGAATGAGTGACCCTATGGAACAGACTACCTTGGTATCATTATGTACTTTTCATGAGAAGGATGGAGGCTTGGAGAAGAGTTTCTATGTAAATAAGGAAAGACGCCCCCCTCTGGGCATATGCAGCTATGGTCCAGGGCTTGTGCACAGAGATCATATTTGGTGCACATTTGCTTTTCAGGGCACAGCCTGCAAACAATTTTTAGGCTGTGTAGAGACAGCATTTGACCTCAGGTTCTCTGACTTCATGTTCCTCCCTCCTTCCCTAGAGAGCATGCTGTTTCTCCACCACATACTCCTCTGCTCCCAAAGAGTTGGCAGCAAACAATTAAGACTCTAAGCAGGTGGTAAACAGGAGATGTGACCACATCTCCGAGGCTGTGGATGCTGTGATGTGAATAACACATACGATTTAATGAAAAGTGTGTCTGGCATTATGCTAACGCTTTACAAGCCTTAGTCTCATTTTCTAATTAGATGGGTAAGGTCGTCCCCATTATGCAGGTGATGAAGCTGAGTTCCAGAGCATTCCAGTGACTTTCCCAGGCTTATATAACCAGTATACTGCACCTCAGGTTCCATGTACACTGAGTGGCCATGGAATACCGTGGTTGTCAGAATTCTCCTGGCACCCTTCCATTCTTCGCTAGCCATCATCCCCTGAAGACTTTTCTCTGAACATTCTGGATCTGCCTTCTAAAAGTCTAGGGTACATGACTGACCATGTTCAGGGTGTTCATCCTGAAGACACAAATCCTAAGGTGTCATGGGTATTTTCCCATAAGGTTCTGATCATTTCTATTTTATTAATCAATTCTTCCCTGTTCACTAATATTGGATGCAGAATCATGGTCTTTCTCTAGCTTCTAGGAGATAAACACTCACCAGCAAATGACAAACACATCAGCTGAGCTGCTTCCTGCAAGCTACGTCTACCAGTTATATTTAAGGTGGTTGAAGGCACATATTTTTCTAACACATCTTCTGAGCTGATTTTGTGACTTGTGTTAGAAAAGCATCGTCCATATTTTCTTTGTTTTGTGGAGATGAGATCTGTGGTATTTTTTCCCTCTTTTTTGCCACTTTATTTTTTTATTTGAAGTATAATTACTTTACAGAATTTTGTGGTTTTCTGTCATACATCAACAAGTACTTTTTCCCTTTATTTTTGTTAATCTTTCCCCTGATTCTTGCACAAATGCCTGTCACTTGGCTTCTGCTACCCTCAGCTCTCTGGCTTCCTAGGGTCTTCGTGACACATGTGAGACTCCCATCATGGGCTACAAGCTCATGTGCACTTTCCCAGGAAAAGGTTGAGCTTTGTTTTAAAAATATCAGATCAGGCCAGCGTGGTGGGGACGTGGAAGGGTCTGTTCAGAGAGGCATTCCTCTGATTGAAGAATCAAGATGAGAAGATTGTAGAAGACCCTGATTAGACAGGAAAGTTGAGAAATTAGGGGAAATGAGAATTGGGGAAAGAAGATGTTGCTAGTGTCAAAAAGCAAAATCTTTCTTACTTTGCAGACTTGCCACATGCTTGTGTATTCTGTTTTTATCAGTCAGGTAACACTCACAGAGCAGAGCTTCATAAATCAATATTTTTTTTTAAATCAATATTTTTAATCCTATGTTTTGAAACAAGTTGGAAAAATTATATACTAACATGAAAACAAAAAGGATAACAAAAAAAATCTGTTTAAATTTCTAATCTATAATATACTAATTTTCTGATCTTGAATTAGTTTATTTAACACTTTTTTTCTCCATTTCTTCATGTGTATAATGTGGAGAAAAAGTTCCTAATTGGGCTAAAACCAACTTTCTTATAGAATATTTAAAAAAAAAGAATATTTTAGAAGGGATTCCTAAATGCATTTAATGATTGAAAAACCTCCATCTTCAATATTAAATGGAAATTTTATTTTTAAATTCGGCTATAAAGGGCTTTATGGTAAAAACCTACCTGATTTAAAAATTTGTCACTATTATTTGTGGGCTGTGTGATACATTATTTTCGTGTTTCAGCATCAGGTTTTTTCATCTTTAATATGGTAGTAATATTCACACTCCTTAGAGTGAGTTTAAGTGAGGTCATGCATTTGAATGTGTCAATGGTGCCTTCGGGTTTCCCATGTGGTGCTAATGGTAAAGAATGCTCCTGCCATTGCTGGAGAGGTAAGAGATACAGTTTCCTGATCCCTGGGTCAGGAAGATCCCCTGGAAAAGAGCACAGCAACCCGCTCCAGTATTCATGCCTGGAGAACCCCAAGGACAGAGGCGCCTGGCAGGATGTGGTCCATAGGGTCGCAAAGAGTTGAATGTGGCTGAAGTGACTTAACATACGTGATGTGTGGTATTTTAGGCATCCATTGGAAGTCTATTTTTTTTCAGCTATTTTGGTGGAGGAGAGTTATGAGGAAAAACAGTGACGGAAAGTGATTAAGACTGAAAGTTAAGAAAGATAAGTGTTTTGAATTTGAGATCTGCTGGCTGGGTGAACTTGGGTCAGTCACTTGACCACTCTGATTTCAGTTACTTCTTTCATAAAAATGGGTTCTATTACCTGTATCACACTGAATGAACTACACGACAAAAAAGAACTCTACAAAGTCTAAAAGCCTGTGTCACTCTACGCTTTCAACATTGTTCAAGATTTTGATGCTCGCCAGATGAATTGCTGTCTATTTCACACACTCCAATTGTAGGAGTCTGAGAAATTTCTACTTGGGTGAAGATGCTTTTTCCAGATTTTACTCACCTATTTGTAACTTTCTTCTTATAAGACAATGACTCCATTTCAAAACAAAACAAATAAAACAAAATCATAATGTGAAGAACAAAAACTAAAACCTGAAATACATATAATATCTACCATCAGCATCTGAGCCCACCCCAAACCTAGTCTAAATAATAGCTAGACCTTGAGGCTTAAATAGCTTTCAAGTTTTTGCTGGATAGGAATCCTGAAAAATTGGTTTTGGAGGAGATGAGTGAGCATGGAGCTTGAACACACACTTGAAATGCTTTTGGAAAGATGGCCAAGGTCCCAGCCACCCAGCCGCTGGAACAGAGAGAGAGCAGACTTCGAGTTCCTTACCGTGGCGTCTTCCCCAGCGCAGTGGTTGAGGACCTGGCGCCCACCGGGATGCCTGTCTGCCCAGCCAGTAACATCGTAGACCTTGCGATTGATCACCAGCCACTGGTCAGTCTCCTGACTGTGTCTCTGGATCTCCTGCCAGGTGTACCTGTTGAAGCTTTTTCTGGGCAAGCCGCACTTCGCATTTGCCTCCTGCCTTGCAGAGAGCCTAGCTTTCCCGCTTGTTCCTGGTTTCCCGTTTGCCTGATGCCTCCCACCTAGGTACTGCTGGCTCTCGTCTACAAGGCTCCCATTGCCCTCAGGCTTTTCTTCAAACGTCATCGTCCTGGTACTTTTAGAATTTTATTTCTCACCTGATTGAACTATAGAATGACCTTTCCCTCTCCTTTTATTCCATGAAGAGAAAAGCCTACACAGAAAACTTTTTAGCCAACTTGACTTTTGGCAAACCTGATAATGAGCTCCTTCCCAGGGTCTCACTTCTCTGTCCTGAATCTTTTTTGTCCTGATGAAGACCGTACTACCTTTCCCCGCACCCCAGAACATTAGTCTACCTTTCTCTCTTCAGTTTTTCTCTCCCTGCTGGCTGATCTTTTAGCAGCATTCTTATTCATCATTAAGTGTCCCTTAGTCAAGAGCTGGAGCCAATCACAGCCCAGAGGATGGTGTGGCCTGATCCCTGGAAGGAGAGGCTGGGCTCCCTCTCTGCTGACTGCCCACACTGGCATCATGCTGGGTCAGGTGCATTAGCTCTCCCCTGTGTCTCTGAAAGGAACAGTTGTATTAATTCAACACATGAGCAGAAGATTTCAAAACCTTTAGGAGGATATGGACGCCTCCTGGAATTGGGAAATGTTCTTTCTTTGTTGTTGTTAAGGTTGGAAATTTTCCTTTTATTCTAGTTTTCTCAGATTACTTTTTTTTATTTCTTTTTTCGAACTGAAGAATAACTGTGTACAGAATTTTGTGGCTTTCTGTCATCATCAGCAAGAGCCAGCTGTAGGTCCGACCGTCTCCCACGCATCCCCCCGTCTCCCTCCCGATGGTTACGGAGCCCGGGGTGAGAGCGCTGAGTCACAGCACAGGGCTCTGCTGACAGCTGCGCTTTCTCCCGAAGGGTTTACATTTCTGAGAAAAGCAGTTTGACTTTAAAATATTTGTAACGCCCTATTGAGGTTACATTGGTTTATAACATTATGCAAATTTCAGTGTGGAAAATTATATTTCACCTTCTGAAACACTACATTGTGCTCACCACCAAAAGTTTTATTTTCCATCCATCACCATACACTTGACCTTCTTTACCCATTTTACCATCCTCCCAACTCTTCCCCTAGAGTGTCCACTGCACTGTTCTATATGTTTGTTTTTAACTTCTTTCATTTCTGTATTCCATAAAGAAGTGAAATCATATGGTAGCTGTCTTTCTCTACTTGATTTTTCACTTAGCATAACATTCTCAAGAAAATGAAGTTGCTCAGTTGCGTCCAAGTCTTTGTAACCCCATGGACTGTAGCCTACCAGGGTCATCTGTCCATGGGATTTTCCAGACAAGAATTTGGAGTGGGTTGCCATTTCCTCCTCCAGGGGATCTTCCCAGTCCAGGGGTTGAACCTGGGTCTCCCCCACATTGTGGGCAGATGCTTTGCCATCTGAGCCACCAGGGAAGTCCAAATTCTCAAGGGCCATCGCTATTTCCAAAAGTGTTAAGATTTCACCTTTCAATCATTCTAATTATCTTTTAATGATTTCTGATCATTTTTATCTGTTTTGTTTTCTTTACTTTATTCTTCAGTTGTTACTCTGCTTTGGTTTTGTTTTATTTATTTATTTATTTATTTTAGCTTTTTAAAATTTGTTTGATTTCCTTTTTGGTTTCTTTAGTTTCTCTAGTTTTTCCCTTGTGTTTTGTTTTGTTTGTTTTTGGTTCTGTTTTCATTTCTTGTGTGTGTGTGTGTGTGTTACTTTGTTCTTGTTTCTATTTACAATTTGGGGTTTTGTCTTTTCTTTCTTTTTTCCTTTTCTTTAATCATCATTGTGGTTTTGATTTGCATTTCCCTGATGGCCAGCAATATTGAGCATCTTTTCATATATCTGTTTGCCATCTGCATATGTTCTTTGGAAAAATGTCTATTCAATTCTTCTGCCCATATTTTAACTTGGTTGTTTGTTTTTTGGATGTTGAGCTGCATGAGCCATTTATGTTGAGTCATTTGGATCTCTTTATGCTCTTATCATTTGCAAATATTTTCTTCCATTCAGTAAGTTGCTTTTTTGTTTTGTTGGTGGTTTCTTTTGCTGTGGAAAGCTTTTAAGTAGGTCCCATTTGCTTATTTTTAGTTAGTTATTTATTTTATTTTTTGCTGTGCTTGGTCTTCATTGCTGAGAATGGGCTTTCTCGAGTTGCAGTGAGCCAGGGTGCTCTCTGTTGAAGTGGCCTCCTTGCTGTGCAGGGTGGACTCCAGGCCCACAGGCTTCAGCAGGTGTCTTGTTGGCCCTAGAGTGTGGGCTCAGTAGCTGTGGTTCAGTTGTGGCTTAGAATCAACAAAGATAATGGCTTGGGGATGGATTTTTCTGGTTCAAAATGATATCGTCCTCATGGTTGGTAATTGACTGAGAGATAAAGCACTGGCAGGGATAGAAACAATTCTCTAACTCCTACTGAAACCTAAGGGAGCATTGGTCTCATCCCTTGAGCCAATGTCCTAAGAATACACAGGAAATAATTCTAAAGTTGGAATTTAGCTGTCTCTGTGGTGTGGTGTTGTGTTTTTGAGATTGGTTCATGCTTTGGAACATTATTCTGAAAGAATGAAGTTAGATCCTGGTTTATAGACTCCATGGTGGGGACTGGGCTGAATGACAGGTTATTGCCAGTAAAAATTTTTTATGAAACCAAGTAGAATTGGTAATTCATGGTGGGAATATATGATTATGTAAAAACAGCATGTGGTTTTTTGAAGAATGGAATTTCCTCAGCTAAGTTTATTGCATCTACCATGACCTTGTCAGTAACCTAATGTATGTGATCCTTGAACTTACTCCTTTGCACCTGGGCCACATCCAAATCACAATATCTGTGGTATGATGATAAACAAAATGGGCTGTCCTCTCACAAGTAAAAGAAACATGCCCAGGAACAGAACATTTGTTCGAAATGATGGTGCTCATGATTTGACAATGGTAACAATCAGTCCATTCTAAAGGAGATCAGTCCTGGGTGTTCATTGAAAGGACTGATGTTGAAGCTGAAACTCCAATACCTTGGATACCTGATGCAAAGAGCAGACACATTTGAAAAGACCCTGATGATGGGAAAGATTGATGGCAGGAGGAAAAGGGGACAACAGAGGATGAGATGGTTGGATGCCATCACAGACTCAATGGACATGAATTTGGGTAAACTCCGGGACTTGGTGATGCACGGGGAGGCCTGACCTGCTGCAGTTCATTGGGTCACAAAGAGTCGGACACGACTGAGCGACTTAACTGAACGGAACAATAATAAAACATTTATTAAGCACCAAAGATGTATCAGCAGCATTCTAAACCATTCACTTGCATTAGAGAGGTGAATTCTCACAAGAATCCTATGAGACAAGCACTAAAACTTGAGTAACGTGCCATTATTTACACAACTCACAGTGGCAGGACTGGCAAATCACTTACACAATGACTGGTCTGCTAGCCACATTTACACTTAACCATGAAACTGCCTTCTGCTGCACAAAAACTTTGTTTCTGCATTATGCTTTGTTTGGGAACCTTCTTACTTTACCTGGCCAGGAAAACATCTATATATCCATTAAGACTCATTTAAGGAAACGTGAAGATTTCTTTAAGTCTTTTGTGTTTTCTTGGTACTTAGAATATTTCACTACAGACTAATGTTCATATGGGCCTGTTTGCCTTCACTGCTAATCTCTAGACAATTCTTGCTTCTTTTTATCCTTGGGACCAGGTCAATGCATAATAAATGCTTTATGAGTGAATAATGAAAGAATTACTATAAGAGCTTAATTATTTGAGCAGAGCCATTTTCAAACAGTAAGCAGCCCAAATGAATTGTCCTCAGAGAAGTGCCATTGAAGAATTGCCCAGCCTCTGATGATGTAGTTCAATTGGAACAACTATGTCTCTGTAATGTGACCCTTCTCCTCTAAGCCACAGAGGCTGATTAAGGAGAGCTACTCAGCTCCAGCTGAGCCAGGGAACTTCTTTTGGAATTAGCTATTACCCCGAGAGCGCCAGGCTGCGACAGTGGAAGAGCGGCACAGAAGAGCTTCCCCACTCCAAGGTCGGGGTGGTGGCCGAGACGACCTACCCCATGCCCAAGGTCAGGGGTGGCTGCCAAGAGGAGCAAACCCATCTCCAAGAATCGGCGGCTGCACGGGTGCAGGAGGGCAGAGAGGAACTTCTCCACATTAAAAGTCAGGAGGGGCGGCTGTGAGAAGATACCCTTCATCCTAGGTAAGGAGCAGCGGCTGCGTTTTGCTGGAGCAGCCATGAACAGATAACCCACGTCCAAGTAAGACGGTAGGTGTAGAAAGAGGGCATCAGAGGGCAGACACACCAAAACCATAATCACAGAAAACTAGCCAGTCTCTCACAGGACCACAGCCTTGTCTAACTCAATGAAACGAAGTCATGCCGTGTGGGGCCACCCAAGGCAGTCGGGTCATGGTGGAGATGTCTGACAGAATGTGGTCCACTGGAAAAGGGAATGGCAAACCACTTCAGTATTCTTGCCTTGAGAGCCCCATGAACCATATGAAAAGGCAAAATGATAGGATACTGAGAAAGGAACTCCCCAGGTCGGTAGGTGCCCAATATGCTACTGGAGATCAGTGGAGAAATAACTCCAGAAAGAATGAAGGGATGGAGCCAAAGCAAAAGCAATACCCAGTTGTGGATGTGACTGGTGATAGAAGCAAGGTCCAATGCTATAGGAACCTGGAATATTAGGTCCATGAATCAAGGCAAATTGAAAGTGGTCAAACAGGAGATGGCAAGAGTGAATGTCGACATTCTAGGAATCAGTGAACTAAAATGGACTGGAATGGGTGACTTTAACTCAGATGACCCTTATATCTACTACTGTGGGCAGGGATCGCTTAGGAGAAATGGAGTAGCCATCATAGTCAACAAAAGAGGATGCAATCTCAAAAATGACATAAAGATCTCTGTTTGTTTTCAAGGCAAACCATTCAATACCACAGTAATCCAAGCCTATGCCCCAACCAGTAACGCTGAAGAAGCTGAGGCTGAATGGATCTATGAAGACCTACAAGACGTTTTAGAACTAACACCCAAAAAAGATG